CCTTCAGTGGGGAAAACCCAATTGATTTTTGCGGTAAATGAACAACTCTAATGAGCATTCATTTGGTTCTCCAGCATTGACGAGCATTGTGACATCAAAGTTAACTCAGCCAGCTCTTCCCCCATCCCTTCAGTTCATTTGGATAAATCAATCCCATTGGTTGGAGAGACTGATTCAGGTTAGGACTTGGGGTGCTTTGCAAGAGTTGGGGACATGGAAGAGAGTTTCAGAACTCAAATAGCAGGAGTTGCTTCAGCTCAGGAGTTACAGTGGCTCAGGAGCAGTGAGGCTAGAGTTGGAAGTTATGGTTCCATCCACACTATACCTGGCTCAGGCAAGATGATTTATCCTTGTCCAGTCAAACTGTTTCTAGCTCAACTAAACAGTGCCCATTTGGTGCTATAGACACATATTATGCCACTCCAAACTGGGCACAAAGGGAGAGATGATCAAGGCGGGAAGCAGGGTTAGGATAAAATAAGAGTAACTGAAGGGAGGCAGTAATGACTGTCAGTTACCGATGGCATGACTTATGTGAAAAAAGATGGAACAGAAAAGAAGAGGAGCATCTTAGATGACTTAATATTCAGATTTTGATTTAGTGGCAGTATCCTGTAAGATTGCTATAGATTCAGGGATAAAGACTGTTTTTGCCCTTCCAACCACCTGTCAGCTGGCATAAATACACTACAAGATGCATGATCTTCTAGTGCAACAGTGGGCAAAAGGGCCTCTGCGGGCCAGATCCGGCCGGCCAAGCAAGTTGTTCCGGCTCACAGAGGCCTCACTGCTCCCCCCGCCCGCAGGCCAAATAGGGCCTGGAGGCAGGGAAAATGCGCAAAATCTCCTCCTGCCCTGCCAGTAGAGAGTGACGCTTCTAAGCACCGTGTACTCCTTGCAGGGTGGGAGCAGACTTTGCATGCTTCCTGCCCAGGCCAATCCGGGTTTCTGGGTGGAAGGAGCTCATGAAGTCGCCTCGTACCCTGCAAGGGGCTCGGCACTTAAAGTGAACTGCCAACTGCTGCTCAGCTGGCAGTTGATCCTAAGCACGGCACTCCCTTACAGGGAGGCGGCAGGGAGCAAGAGACTTCACATGCTCCCCCTCCCCAGGCCCTTATTGACCTGGGGGCACCTGTTCAAAACAGCTTGTAGCTCTTTCAGGGTGGGGGCAAAGACTTTGCATGCTTCCCCACCCCCAGACCAATCAGGGTCTGTCTGTGGGGGAGCACAGAAGTATACTGGCCCCGCCCTTTCCGCCTGAGGCCCTGCCCCTTCTGGGCCAGCAAGGGCCACTTAAATTTCTAAAGTGGCCTCCACTCAAAAATTATTGCCAACCCCTGCTCTAGTGACTACTGGCACAGCTAATCGTTGTGATCCCAAACACACAAAGAAAAGACAAGAGTGGGAGATATAGATTTTTCCAAAGATCAGAGAATTTTAATATATTTCTAGATATTGACAAAGCAGGCACGACTGGATTTAAGAAAATTCTTCTTTCCTTATACACACTCATTCTGTAGTCATACTTTCTCTCCTTAATCTTACTGGCTCACTCATTAGATTATTTAATTTAAATCCAACAAGTCATTCTAGTTGAAACATTACCCCTTTTGGAAGTAAAAATCATCTGCTTATTCAGGCCTTCTATTATTGAGATATTTGACATCCCTTTGGCAGGACGTCTCCTATCTGGAATTCCTCTCTTTCAATCTGTACTTGGCTGAGACTTTGGTTTGTAAGAGTGTATTTGCCATATTTGGAGGGAGAATTATACCTGTCAACTTTGGTTTATTTCTATAAATTGTATCCAGGTATGGGCTTATAATAATATAACAATCAAGGCTTCACTCTGCATATTGAACCACTGTGTCTCTAAAGATAAATAATTGAATTCCTGCATTCTGGTTCTTAGGAATAAATTACTAATTCCAGGAAGGAAAGGAAAATTGCATTTGCAGAGGTATCATTACCGGGAAGGAAGATAAACTTCTGACACTGATACGATTTCCAATCTATGCCCAAGAGATTCCTTTACTGAATCCTAAGAATGTTGCAGATCACTACTGAGTTTTCATTGGCTCAACTGCATTGGGAAGCTTACCCAGCCCCTGCCAGTATTATATTTCACTTTGGCCACTAGCATCAGTCCATCATTTTCAGCAACACTAAATCTGCCCATTACAATTTTAAGCTATATAAGAGGAAAATGAAAATTATTAATTTAAAATATCAGATAAACAGTGCAACGTCACATCTATCAGTGAAATGAAACAGTCATAACCATGGCATAATGGGAGCTTTTTATCACAAGCCAATATGCATGTCTCTTATTGAGCTAGCCTACATGACATACAGACTTAAAAACTACTAAAACATTATTCATTTTGGATAAGCCATTTCTATGCCAACCACACTACGTGAGATGGCCTAGTATATAAAGTGTTTGAATTCACAAAGTGCAATATAAGGATATGAACTGCATGGGAAAATGTGGGACATCTGCTCTCCATCCATAGTTCCAAATTTCACTCACTCATAAAAATAAACATTTAAATCAAAACTAATCAGCAGTGAAGTACAGGTTAGACTTCCCTGGTTTGGCACCCATGAGACCTGACAAGTCCCAAACAAGGTAATTTGCCAGACCAGGGAAGCAGAATTTTTGCCATTCAGAGAACTCTTCTAAAATTTGGTATTTTGTATCAATATCTTTTTGTACTACCAGAAACTTTTACATATTTTTATTCCCAATATTATAATACGTAGTCAAGATAGTTAATTTATAAATAGTAATTTCATAATATTCTTCAAGTGCTGTAACACTAAAGTAAACTAAGCATCCCAAGTTGAATTTAGACATCTGAAACTAAAATTAGGAAGTAGGCATTACACACACTACAATTTTTAAAAACAGATACTAAAATTAGGAAGTAGGCATTACACACACTACGATTTTTAAGAACATAGATTTTTTGAGTAAAGACAAGAGATACCAAGGAATTGGAACACATTTTTACTTCTTGGACAAGTTTCTCTTAACTTCCTCAATCTTGGTCCTTCCACTCCTTCACATCACATCCCATCCCATAAAAGCATATAATGCTAACCAGATTGCAAAATTGGAATTCATGCAAGAAGCCAAATTTAAATGGACCTCACTTATATTTTTGACAGTCCTCAAATACAGGAAATCATGTCCAAAAGCAGAGCAACTAGGATGGAGAATGAACAACCCCAACACACATTCAAGTCCACAAAAATGATCCATTTTATTTCAGATGCAGTGAATTAATTTCAAATACCTCAAAACTGTTGTTTCTCTTTTTCATTTGTCCTTTACTAGACTAAAGCAAATAGTCTTTTACTGCAGTTAGTTTATCAAACAGTAGCCATGGAAATTCCATGTATCAGTCCTGAACAACTTGCTTCCGTTACAGAAACAACCAGAATCATCATATTGGCAAGCTATGATTAATTTCAAAACATTCTACAGGTTGAACTTTTATAATCTGGCATCTTTGGGACCAGACTGGTGCCAAACCAGAGAATTTTCCAAACCACAGGAGGTCAATATTATCTTGCAGCATTACCAATGCTGCTTACTGGGCTCTTAGAAGACATTTAGGGGTAAATTAGAGCTAAACAGCAGCACAGAACACCAAGAGCCAGGAATAGTAGCTGTAAACAAACTTTATGGGTCCATGGGAAACCTGGCCACATGCATAAGTGGACATCCGGCTAACTAAAATTATACCAGACTATGGATGTTGCCGGACCAGAGAATGCTGGATGAGAGAGGTTCAACCTGTACTAGAGGCTATGGCTGTGAATCATTTGACAATGTTTCCATTTATCCAGCTCTCGATTTTAATTCCCAGGATTACAGCTGAGGCATGCCCAGACTAGTAACCCAGAATAGGTTATCCAAATTTCTGCATTATAATATATAAAAAATAAGTTCTATTTTTTATTATCTCTTATCCCAATATAGTCCAATCAAAACTCTGAACCAACAGACTGTAGGTCAAGGTCTACCCCGAAAAAAGCAGCATAACGTATGTCTAATACACATTAGCAACCCAGGTCTTATTACCCATGTTTAAAATTTAATTCTTCGTCTCATCCATGGATCAACATTTATATACAACTAACGGGAGTTACCCGGCGTTGCTCAGAAACGTGGAGGAACAAAATTTAGAAAAACAGTAGTTCATTATCATTTTTTGAATAGTAGAAAAGTTGCACTGAGTTCTATAGGGATTAAAATAAATAAAGTATAAAACAACCAATTTTACATGTTATCAAACTTTATTGTAAACTATATTTTCGGTTTCATTATTCTTAACAAATATGTACAATTTTTTTCCACTTCCAACTCTTGAACACGCAACATAGAGGTGTCCATGTGAAAAACAAGATGTCTCCAAATCAATTCCAACTATTTTAAGTGACTGTCCTTGCGCTTAGTCAGTATACATCATTGAAATATAAGTTGACAGTTGATATAACTGAGGTGAGGAGCCTGAGGGGAGGGAGAGGGAAGGAAGCCGCACGCCTGCCGCCGGTGCCCGAGCCCACCCTCCGCTTCCTTGTCCCTTCACCGGCCTTAGTGAGTGACTAGCCCCACCGCTTCCCCAGGGAACCCACTTCTCCCCATACTGCCAAGCTCCGTGCAGCCCCGGGGAGAGGCGGTCTCTCATCTCTTTCCTCCCACCGTCCCTTAAAACCTTCTCCGGGGTGACAGGTTATCCCTCCGCCGTCCTTAGTGAGCGACTGTCCCCGCCACTTCTCCCAGGAAGCCGCTTCTCCCCACACTACCAAGCTCTGTGCAGCCCTGGGGAGAGGCATCGGTCTCTCATCTCTTCCCTCCCACAGTACCTTAAAACCTTCTCCCATGCAAAGTTTGGTTGTGGTAGCTCTTATAGTGTCCAAGTTATTAGCGCACAAACGAACAAACAAACATTCTCCTTTATATATTCGATTTAAAGCACTCTATTTACCTTGTGTCTGCATTTAAGTACAACCCCATAGGCTCCTGGAACACAAATGGAAAAAACAAACAGATTAATTACTATGCTGTGGGAAAAGTAAAATACTCTATATTTCACATTTGCCTAACGTGTATTACAGATGCACTGTTCCTTATACTATTTTCTTACACTTATAGCTAAAATGTTTTGTTGCATTTTTGTGTCGCAAAATTTAAAAATGAAGCTGCTGGTAAGTATATGATTTTGAAATTCTTCTGTGAATTCTTTATTTTTATAAATATGAATATGCAAGACTATCTGAAAATCTGTATATTCTGGTAAGAGTTACTAGTGTAGACAGTAACATTACACATTACATTATTTTTTTTTAAAACAAGAACAGAAAAAAAAAGTGTCATTTCATGTACATTCTGGTAATTCTGCTTTGATTACTTTTAAGGCATCTCTTGTGACTTATCTACACATAAAATGCTAAGCAGCATAGCTATAGTGGCATTCTCCCATTGGTACAGGTATCTACCTCCTCAAGACACAGCAGATAGGTTGACAGAAGAATTCTTCTGTTGACCTAGCACTGCCTGCCTACACAGGGACTTAGGTCAGCTTAACTTCACCACTAACGATCTGGATTTTTCCCACCCCAATACGTAAGAGTTCAGTTGGATTTAGAATGGTAAAATAATTGTTTCACTTCTTTAGGACATCCTGCCATCTTAAAATTAAGACAATGACTTTATTACTTAATATGTTAACTTGTATATGCAAATAATATTTTGTCTAGCTCGATAATGTCCATAATTAAGCATAGAATAATATTTGTAATAAAAATATATGCATTGTAAAAATGAATAAATCATATTTTTTCAATTCACCTCATACAAAGAAGTACAGCAGTGCATCTCTTTATTATGAAAGTACAACTTACAAATGTAGATTTTTTTTGGTTACATAGCTGCATTCGGAAACAAAACAATGTATAACTTTCACCATTTACAAGTCCACTGAGCCCTACTACTTATTTAGACAATCACTTAGAGAAACAAGTTATATTTTTATGGGAAATAATGCTGCCCGCTTCTTATTTACAATGTCACCAGAAAATGAAAACAGGTGTTCACATGGCACTTTTGTAACTGGCATTGCAAGGTATTTGAATGCCAGATGTGCTAACTATTTGTATGCCCCTTCATGCTTTGACCACCATTCAAGAGGACTTACTTCAATGCTGATGACCTTTGTTAAAAAATAATGCAGTAATTAAATTTGTGACCAAATTTCTTGGGGGAGAATTGAATGTCTCCTGTTGTTTTACCCAAACTCTGTCATATATTTCATATTATTGCAGTCTCAGACAATGACCCAGCACATGTTCGTTTTAAGAATGCTTTCACTATAGATTTCACAAAAGCCACATTTCTAAAGAGAGCTACAGCACTTGATCCAAGGTTTAAGAATCTGATGTGCCTTCCAAACTTAAAGGGATGAAGTGAGGAACGTTCTTTGAGAAGTCTTAACAGAGCAACACTCCAGTGTGGAAACTATAGAACATAAACCACCAGAAAAGAAAAATCAACCTTTTACTGATCTGCATCTGAGTCAGATGCAGAAAATGAAAATGCGTAAGTCCACACTGCTTTGGACCATTATCAAATAGAACTAGTCATCAGCATGGGCGTACATCCGTTGGAATGGTGGCTGAAGCATGAAGGGACATATGACTCCTCAGCACATCTTGCATGTAAATATCTTGATGCCAGCTTCAACAATGCCATGTGAACACCCGTTCTCACTTTCAGGTGACATTGTAAACAAGAAACAGGCAGCGTTATTTCCTGCAAATGTAAAACTTTTCTGTCTAAGTAATTCATCTGAGACTTGTAGGCTCTCAAGTTTTACATTGTTTTGTTTTTGAATGCAAGGGTTTTTTTGTACACAACTCTACATTTGTAAGATCAATTTTCATGTTGGAGAAATTATACCATAGTACTTGTAATGGAAGAAATGAAAACTACTATTTCTTTTGTTTTACAGTCAAATATTTGTAATTAAAATATGAAGTGAGCAATGTACATTTTGTATTCTGTGTTGTAATTGAAATCAATATATTGGATAATGTAGAAAACATTTAAATAAATAGTATTCCAGTACTGTTTAACAGTACTACTCCTGAACACTGTCTTAGTTCTAATTCCTATTTAATTAAGATGATCTGACTTACCTTCACCTACAACCCCAAGGATCTCAAATTTATTCATCACATTACCAATGTTAAGAATCTTCATGAAGACAAATTCCTCTTGTGATGAGAGCCACAGAGCATGGCACAGAGAAGAATATCTAAAGGGTCTATAGCAGGCAAAAGTGAAGACTTCTGATAGAAGAAATCCACATTGATTGACTGGACTTCTCACATACTTGTCCTAATTTCTAGGCATTAAATAGCTTCCTGGAAAGAAATGAATGATAAAATTAGCATCAGCAGATCTTGCTTTACAGCATGCAAAGAAAAACAATGGCATATATTCACAATATTTACTGTCAGCACTATGGAATTTGAGAAGGAAAATTACCTCACCCATTTCTGGGTTTTACGGTCAATAGAACTCTGCAGCATGCATAAAGTCAGTCAGCATAGGTGACTACATATCTGATATATGGCACAGTAGGTTTTATAACCCCAGAAGCAGGACATCATTTAAAGTAAGGAAACAGCTTATATAAGAAATGTTTCCTGCTGGTATACAAGAAAAATTGGCAGTGATCTACCACTGCAGGTAGTTGAACACATACTTATAAATACTAGCTTTCTCTCTTGCATTTATGATGGCAGCTAATTATAGAAAAAAATGGATTGTAATTAGTTAGTTTATTCTACACTCAATCTATGCTAGTTCCTCTTTTTCTAGCTTTTATTACACCTGGAAACATTTCTAACACTTTTCATAGTTAACACTATAAGGAGCCTGTTTAAAAAGGATATGGCTGAATAATATTTTATGAAACATTGTAAGTTTCACACAAATTAAGCATACTTAGTACCATACGATACAAATACTCTTTTAAAGCTCTCTCTATAGCAAAGTTACACATTTTCAGACAATACATGTAGTAATTACAGAAATGTGATGAATGCAAAGAAAGCAGGTTTTTACTCCAGGCAAAGTTTGTCATCTATGGTTTTAGTAGAAAAATAAGTGTACTAAGATTTATTTTGCCACTGTATATGCTGGTTTTAATCAATACTTACATCACCTATTCAATTTTAAAATGGAGAGAAATAAACCACTAATGAATTCTCTGTAAAAGGGAACAGTTTCTTGTATCTCAGGGCCCTATGAATAGGACTACCTATGGAAAACTAGCTTGCAGGGTGGCAATGAATCCATATCACTAAACCAATTCATGGTACCAATATCGATGACCTAACTATCCTGGATTCTGCACATACAGAAATATAAAGTTGCATCTCTATTTTAGTGTTGCCAGTGGATGTTGTGAAGAGCACTGCTCTGAGCCAAACATAATACGAAGGAGAGGTAGGAGAGACAGGAAAAAACACATCAAATGGCTTGAAAGAAACTTGTTTGCAGAGAAACAAAGGCTACATAAAAGATAATAAAATACGTTATCGGAGAATCAAGTTTTTGTTCAAGTGACTATAAATATAAAAAATGTTTGCCTAAATTAATCGTCTATAGGGGAAAACAATTTAAAAGTTATTCTTCCATTACTGAAATATTTTCATAGTTATTTAAGATGGACAGAAAAAAACATTGTCTTTATCTGAGTGTTAAAGAGCTGGCATTTCTTTCCATACTAAACATGCACTCTTCATCTTTCCCTTTCACACTCTTCCCCCTCATAGGTGTGTGGGTTTTCTCTCCCCTGCCTTCTTACAGAGCCTTCAATCTTTAAGGTAACAGTAATAAACCAATTACAAAAACTAAATAAATACATCTGATCTGTTAGCCCCTGCACTACAGTCTATAGTGAGCTGTGTTTGTCCACCCCATTGTGGCATTGGCCAGTACTACACTGTAACTTACCCATATGAACTCCCTGAGTACAAAGTAAAAAGCTCCTACTTTTCATTAATGTAGTCCTTTTTGAAAAGACATACATTAAGACAAACTAAGAATCTTAGAGTCTGGGCTCATAGTCACACTCCCATATTCCTAAAAATGGGGCCATGAGAAAAATCCTCTTGAAAGTGCAGTAGACAGAGGCACAGATAATCATTACAAGATCCAAACCTAGAATCTAGGAATATAACAGAGCAGAGTGCTTCTGTCCACACACCATCTATCAAGGCACTAATTTAAAAGCCAACAAGGGAACAGGCTTAACTTTAACACAGACAAACCAAGGCAGATCAAGGCATGAAACTGCTAACAACATTTACAAGACAAGGTGGATGAGACATCTTTTACTGGACCAATTTCTGTTGGTGAGAGAGTGTAAAGCTTTCAACCCAAAAGCTTTCCCTTCTTCAGGTCAGGGAAACCAGAAGAGCTGTGTCTCATTTCAAAAGCTTGCTTCAGGCTACGGCTAACTAGAGAGCTTACACCTGCTGTGTCCAACACGCTAGCCTCTAGCCCCCATTTGGCTATTTGGCCAGGTGAGTGTGGTTAGCTGACTATAGCAATAGCCACTATATTATTTACAATTTCAGAATAATTTGGTTAGTTCGCTGTACTAGTAGCCACTATAGTGGCTACAGCTTCAGAACTGGTTGAACACCAAGCGTTACAGCAGCTCAGCTACAGCGCAGCGATGCTGCTAGTAAAATACTAATGTAGATCTAAACTGAGAGCTCTCCCATCAACTTAATTGCTCTAGGTCCCACAAGCAGCAGTAGATATGTTAATGGAAGAGCTGTCCCTACTGGTGATTGGTCAAAGTAGTCACTTCCCTGAGAGACATAATTTATACCCACTTAAACCAGAGGTAGTGTGTACATAGTCTCTCTCACCAACAGAAATTCGTCAATAAAAGATTCTCTTACCCATCTTTTGTCTCTCCAATATTATGGGAAAACATTGCTACAGTACCACTGCATACCAACATTTGGATCCAGCAAGCCCTTATTTACAACAGCTATATCACTAGTATTTCAGTTGTAGGTACAGTAACATTGTCCAGATGATGAGCAAACAAAAGGACACTGGAAAAAGTCACTCCCATAACTGGCACGCAGAGAGAGGAAAGGACTGAATGAGCTTAGAGACTGAACTACCAATCAAGATTCAGGTTCTGTGTTTTGGTTGGCTCTGCTAATCCTGTATTTCATTTATATGAGAGTCTACCTCCAAAAAAAATCAATAAAACTATCCTGAATACAAAGAATAGTTTCAAACCATAGATAAGATGCAGGAATTTTGAGCTCCTCAACCACCTATGGCCAAAATTTTCAAAACTGTGTTGGGATTAAAGGAGTTAATATAAAAATCATTCAAAATGGAGTCAGTGAACTTTTGATCTTAGGACTCCATTTTGATCAAAATGCCTGTCAGTAGCAGAGGACTCTGAGCAGTGCTGGCTCTCACCAGCCAGAACTGGTGTTTTCCGCCCACCCAGAACATTCCCATCACCTCAGAGTTTCATACTACAGAAAAGATTTAAGGGCCTGTGAGGCTGCTGGGGGCGTGTGGTCTTCCCATCCACACTCCTGTCAGCACCGGGCCACCATAGTGGCAATGACAAGGGAAAGGGAAGATGTACCGCCAGTGATCCACTTCCACCATAGAAGCTCCCCACTGTGATGTCCCTGAAGTTCCTCCCTGACAGCTTCAAACTAGCTCAAGGGTAGAAGGTCCCAGGTCTCAGCTGCACAGCACCACTGGTACCTCCCAATGTAAAAGGGGTATACTTCTTTGGGTTCTTTCCTATCAATTCTTCCTTTCTTCCTGGCCAAAGTCAGTATCTGGGCCTAGGCTTCACGCCTCTGATGAAATCCCTACACTGTTATATAGTTATTGTTAGTTAAGGAGACTTACTATTGTTTGCGTTATTGTTTGAATTTCCCATTTTCCCCGTTATTGTAATTTTAATATCTTAATATGTGTGTCAACTTACATAGGGTGTCCCTCTTTATTATTTCTGTATTACACTAGGAGGGTGCACTGAGGGATTACTCCAGCCCACTGGTGACAGATACAGGAAAAGGGTACCTGCATTCTCTGAAACAGGGGCTACCCTGATACAGGGGTCACCTTTTGATTTCTATTTTCTTCAAGGTGCCTTTGTCGCCTGGGTAACAACTGGGCACCTAGTGTATTTTATAAACACAGCTTATCACAATAGTGACTAGTTATATGAATTTTGAAGATATCCATCTTTTAAACAGATTAGGATTTTAAAAAAAAACCACACTGGAAGTGCCCAAAGAATGTTAGACCTCAAGTTCTCTTAAACCTTCCGTCCTTTTTTTTTTCACACTGGAAGTGCCCAAAGAATGTTAGACCTCAAGTTCTCCTAAACCTTCCGTCCTTTTTTTTCCCCCTGCTCTTCCTATTCATGTACGTTGTCCTCTAGTTTAGTATAGAAATTCCCACCTCAACACATTATGTCTATGTAGTAATCTCTAGTCTTGTACTGTCTGGCCTTGTAACTTTGATGACTTATAAAACTGAACAATACAATCTGAGATCCTATGAAGTGTGCAAGTATTTGAGAACATATTCAAACTGTAAGTCACCTTGTGTTCCTTTCATTGTTTGTTTATTTAAAAAAAATAAAAAATTAATCCCCTACAGCTAGCATGCCTACCCCCAAATCACAGAGCCCAAAGTGTCCATGGTGACTCAGAAGGGTTGCCAACATCTGAACAGGGAAAATTAGAAAAAAAATAAACACTTGCTTATCGATCTTTCCTCTTTCATTTTTCTCCCACAGCCTAATTTTCATTCATCTACAAGATTTATTCCAGTCCACACTGCATGTAGATAAGAACTTTTGGTTTTTAGTCTTTAAAGTAAAAGAAAAATAGGATATTAAATAAAGGTGAACATACAAAGTATTTAATACCCCATGAATGCTATAACTCAACATTATGGTTATTCCAACACAGACCAAAATAACAACGACTGCTGTTCCATGTAATTTTCAACCCTATTATTACTCTCAGATTGTTGGTTCACTATTCAGATTTTTTTTTTTTTTTAAAGAAAATAAAACTTGAGATCACTTTCTCAAACAAAAAAAAGCACACATCTGCTAAAAAAAACCTCCAAGAGAATAAAAAAAGCCCTAAATGTCTAATTTTAAATTAATAGGATCAGGTATCATACTGTTATTAGTGAATGAAAACCTAATGTCTAACTGGCCGCTAGAAGCATTTACTAGATTTCCGCTATTCATTCTTGATGTTTTTTCAAAGTAGAAACAGAGAACGTGTTTTTTCTTTTGTTTTTTTTCCATGAAAACTTCCCTCTTAACAGCCAACTT